TTTCCGCTGTAACAGCTCTCAGTCCACTTCAGACGAACACTCTTTCCGCTGTAACAGCTCTCAGTCCACTTCAGACAAACACTCTTTCCGCTGAATCAGCTCTCAGTCCACTTCAGACAAACACTCTTTCCGCTGAATCAGCTCTCAGTCCACTTCAGACAAACACTCTTTCCGCTGAATCAGCTCTCAGTCCACTTCAGACAAACACTCTTTCCGCTGTAACAGCTCTCAGTCCACTTCAGACGAACACTCTTTCCGCTGTAACAGCTCTCAGTCCACTTCAGACAAACACTCTTTCCGCTGTAACAGCTCTCAGTCCACTTCAGACGAACACTCTTTCCGCTGTAACAGCTCTCAGTCCACTTCAGACGAACACTCTTTCCGCTGTAACAGCTCTCAGTCCACTTCAGACGAACACTCTTTCCGCTGTAACTGCTCTCAGTCCACTTCAGACGAACACTCTTTCCGCTGTAACAGCTCTCAGTCCACTTCAGACGAACACTCTTTCCGCTGTAACAGCTCTCAGTCCACTTCAGACGAACACTCTTTCCGCTGTAACAGCTCTCAGTCCACTTCAGACGAACACTCTTTCCGCTGTAACAGCTCTCAGTCCACTTCAGACGAACACTCTTTCCGCTGTAACAGCTCTGTCACTTCAGACGAACACTCTTTCCGCTGTAACAGCTCTCAGTCCACTTCAGACGAACAATCTTTCCGCTGTAACAGCTCTGTCACTTCAGACGAACACTCTTTCCGCTGTAACAGCTCTCAGTCCACTTCAGACGAACACTCTTTCCGCTGTAACAGCTCTCAGTCCACTTCAGACGAACACTCTTTCCGCTTTAACAGCTCTGTCACTTCAGACGAACACTCTTTCCGCTGTAACAGCTCTGTCACTTCAGACGAACACTCTTTCCGCTGTAACAGCTCTGTCACTTCAGACGAACTCTCTTTCCGCTGTAACAGCTCTCAGTCACTTCAGATGAACACTCTTTCCGCTGTAACAGCTCTCAGTCACTTCAGACGAACACTCTTTCCACTGTAACAGCTCTCAGTCCACTTCAGACGAACACTTTTTCCGCTGTAACAGCTCTCAGTCCACTTCAGACGAACACTCTTTCCGCTGTAACTGCTCTAAGTCCACTTCAGACGAACACTCTTTCCGCTGTAACAGCTCTCAGTCCACTTCAGACAAACACTCTTTCCGCTGTAACAGCTCTGTCACTTCAGATGAACACTCTTTCCGCTGTAACAGCTCTCAGTCCACTTCAGACGAACACTCTTTCCGCTGTAACAGCTCTCAGTCCACTTCAGACGAACACTCTTTCCGCTGAATCAGCTCTCAGTCCACTACAGACGAACACTCTTTCCGCTGTAACAGCTCTCAGTCACTTCAGACGAACACTCTTTCCGCTGTAACAGCTCTCAGTCCACTTCAGACGAACAATCTTTCCGCTGTAACAGCTCTGTCACTTCAGATGAACACTCTTTCCGCTGTAACAGCTCTCAGTCCACTTCAGACGAACACTCTTTCCGCTGTAACAGCTCTCAGTCCACTTCAGACAAACACTCTTTCCGCTGAATCAGCTCTCAGTCCACTTCAGACGAACACTCTTTCCGCTGTAACAGCTCTCAGTCCACTTCAGACGAACACTCTTTCCGCTGTAACAGCTCTCAGTCCACTTCAGACAAACACTCTTTCCGCTGAATCAGCTCTCAGTCCACTTCAGACGAACACTCTTTCCGCTGTAACAGCTCAGTCCACTTCAGACGAACACTCTTTCCGCTGTAACAGCTCTCAGTCCACTTCAGACGAACACTCTTTCCGCTGTAACAGCTCTCAGTCCACTTCAGACGAACAATCTTTCCGCTGTAACAGCTCTCAGTCCACTTCAGACGAACACTCTTTCCGCTGTAACAGCTCTCAGTCCACTTCAGACAAACACTCTTTCCGCTGTAACAGCTCTCAGTCCACTTCAGACAAACACTCTTTCCGCTGTAACAGCTCAGTCCACTTCAGACGAACACTCTTTCCGCTGTAACAGCTCTCAGTCCACTTCAGACGAACACTCTTTCCGCTGTAACAGCTCTCAGTCCACTTCAGACGAACACTCTTTCCGCTGTAACAGCTCTCTGTCCACTTCAGACGAACACTCTTTCCGCTGTAACAGCTCTCAGTCCACTTCAGACGAACACTCTTTCCGCTGTAACAGCTCTCAGTCACTTCAGATGAACACTCTTTCCGCTGTAACAGCTCTCAGTCACTTCAGACGAACACTCTTTCCGCTGTAACGGCTCTCAGTCCACTTCAGACGAACACTCTTTCCGCTGTAACGGCTCTCAGTCCACTTCAGACGAACACTCTTTCCGCTGTAACAGCTCTCAGTCCACTTCAGACAAACACTCTTTCCGCTGTAACAGCTCAGTCCACTTCAGACGAACACTCTTTCCGCTGTAACAGCTCTCAGTCCACTTCAGACGAACACTCTTTCCGCTGTAACAGCTCTCAGTCACTTCAGACGAACACTCTTTCCGCTGTAACAGCTCTCAGTCCACTTCAGACGAACACTCTTTCCGCTGTAACAGCTCTGTCACTTCAGATGAACACTCTTTCCGCTGTAACAGCTCTCAGTCCACTTCAGACGAACACTCTTTCCGCTGTAACAGCTCTCAGTCCACTTCAGACAAACACTCTTTCCGCTGTAACAGCTCTCAGTCCACTTCAGACGAACACTCTTTCCGCTGTAACAGCTCTCAGTCCACTTCAGACGAACAATCTTTCCACTGTAACAGCTCTGTTCATTTATACGAACACTCTTTCCGCTGTAACACACACACACACTAACAAAATGTATATGGGTGACTGTGCACCCTAACTCCAGCATTTACTCTCAGGTTGAGGGTGTCTTTGCAAATAATCATGAAGGTTTCCATGTCCTGAATGTTTTCAAAAATGAACGTGAAAGGCTCCATGGCATAGCACTTCATCGACTCCATCAGCACCCTCCACGCTTTCATTTGGTCATCATGATCCATCAACATGTATGATGGTTCTTGCACCTGGCCAGTGAAAAGCCCAAGACTGTTCCTCACGATGTATTCTGCCTGGTACATATGTTTCAATGTGAGGGGCAGCTCCTCCACTTCTACCTGTTCCTCCTATGATAAAGTAAAATACCATAAATTAAGACTACAACATAAGATGTTTTGGTCTTTCAAACGGGGCCTAAAGACATCTTTTCAGCAAAAAAATTAACAAATGTCTCTTGGAGATGGCTGCAATGTAACAAAGGGTGAAACATTGACAACGTTTACATGCACCCTCATAATGCTATTATAATAGGATTTTAGCAATATTGCGATTATACTTTACCTCATGTAAACACAATACTTAAAGCAACACTATGTAACATTTTTTACCTTAAAATAATGTTTCCAAAATCTTATCAGTGGTTCATCAAGTCGTAACAGGGTGAAAGGCACTTCTGCCATAGCCTGACGGGGTCTGTATCGCTTTTACTGGCACTACGGAACTTCGGGGTTCGGGTAGTAACTAGGCTTGCGACGGTAGTCGGTAGGGATGTCCCGATAAGGTTTTTTTGCCCTCGAGTCCGAGTCATTTGATTTTGAGTATCTACCGATACCGAGTCCCGATCCGATACCTATATAATACATAAAAAAAGAATAAAGAAGAGAGAAAAAACAGATCCAGGATGTTCCTTATTTTTTATTTAATTCACCTTTTTTAACATTCAACAACTGTTAACAAACAGAGCACTTCTGTGAGGTAGCTTGAACAATCAAGTGATAAATAACATAAAATCTTCACTTTTGGACTTTAGTGTAACAGTACAATATAGAAAAAGTCTAATATAAAAACAAATAGCACCTCAACTTAAAATACCCGGCAGGCATGTAAACAAAAAATAAAAATGTTTTAAAAGTGTATAAAAAAATTATGAGAATATATATATACATTAGGGGTGTAACAGTTCACAAAATTTGCGGTTCGGTTTGTTACGATACAGTAAAAAGAAAGAAATGCCAGAGAAATTTCCTATTTATTAAAAGAAAAACAATTTTTTAAAAAAGTTTGAGTTTTCCTACATCTTGAAACTTTCAGGGGGTAAATGGGGGTAATCTTTGAAGGATGAACAAATAATGTTTTGGTAATCACATTAAAAATAACATTTAAATATATATTTATATAATATTTGAGTTTTGAAGTGCAACATTATATCCATGTTCATTCACGGCACAATGTTTCTCCTGGTTCGCACGTCAGCGCTGTTTGATCTAATAGAGATCTCCGGTTAATAACGGAGAAATGTGAATGCTTCTCACTAGATCTCGCAGCGATGTTATTACTTCAGTGGCGAATTCAAATGTTTTCTTCACTGGATCTCTTATTCCGATCGAGTCTGAAACCACGTGATCGGGCCCGATTTCCGATCGCGTCATCGGGACATCCCTAGTAGTCGGTGTTACCGGTGTTACACGGTGTTCAGGCGCAACACCGGTTTCATCCCTTGTCCACCGCAACACCGCAAAACAAAAAAATATATATAGGCATATATTTATATATTTAACGCAATTACGCAGTATCCGGTTTTTTCTGTCACCCGTTGACTAGCGTTGTATGATCACGCTCTTATTAATGTGAATGATTTTAAGCGCGACAAGACTAAAGAGACCGCGCTGTCCTGCCTACACATACACACGCACGCGCGCCCACAGAAAAGACGCGCGTCAGTATCGAGTTCTCCATGGGCTTGAACAAACCACAACACACTAGGGTTGGGCATCTAAGGTATAATGCCGATCCGATATGCATCTCGATACAAAGTATCCGATCCGATATATTAACGATACATGTGTAGCATTTTGCGATGCAATACGATACGATTTACAGTCTTATCACGATACGATGCGATACTTCAGCACTAGCTAATTAGATCAAGTTTATGTGGTGATGTGAAAGAGGATGCGGTGCCATTGAATGAGTTTGATTATTTATTAACCAAGTAAAACCAAGACTTTTTTACAAACTGGCTTTTCTCTCAGAGCCTGAGTGTCGGTTTACAGTAGAGGGCCATTTTAGAACACATGGCACATATTATTTAAGTATTTCCAAGATAAACAGAAGGTATAAGTGCAATGCATACTAAAAAAAAATATTTGCACTCTTTCAACAGAAAGAAGGCTTACCATTGCACAACAAGAATTGTGATTTCAGTTTTCAACTATGAAAATAAGTTTTACAAAGATGTTTTGCCACTGAATATTCAAAAGTTAACGTTGTGAACTAGCAGTGTTATGCTGCTTTTACTTTGAAACATCACTGTCACTGTAAACAACAGGCTAATAAAATAAAATAAAATAAAAATTAAATAAAATTCTAAATAAAAAAAAATGCTTTTTAGAATAGTGCACATCGGTCAGTCACCTTCAGTTAAAGGTTTTTCTTCAGAAATATCAACTGATCAACATGATCAGGGTGAAGCAAGCTACGCTGAGCTGTAACTATATCTCCAGCTGTGCTGAAAACTCTTTCAGCTGGTACGCTTGTTGCTGGGATGGACAGATATCTCTTTGCTAAAGCTGATAGTAGTGGAAGATCTACTTGCAGTCTCCACCACTGCAACACATCCCCATCCAAACCTAAAGTGTCCCTTTCTCTATATTTTAAGATTTCATCCTTAGCTTTCTCCCTGATGGTCTTTGCTGGTGGTCTTGCACTCAGGAAATCTCCAAACATCTGGTCCATGGCAGTCTTTTTCTTTGGAGGGGCATCATCTACAGAAGAGGGCAGAGGAGGCTCATCAGTTGTGCTAAAAATATTACTTTAATTTACAATCTGAAAATTAGTTCACTATATTGAATCTTCACTACATATTTCTGTACATTTTTGGCATTGTCTCCATTTAAACCAACCTGTCTTGTCCTCGTTGGAAGGGCTTTTGTCGCCTTCTGTTTCAGCTGTCTGGTCCTCTTCCAATGTGCCTGTTGCCTGGTCTTCATTCGGCATTGCTGTGTCACTGACCTCTTCCTTAAAAATGCATAAACATGTAAAATAATGCATATATTATTCATATTATTCAAATCATATATTATTAGTTCTAAACTGCAATAACAATCTTACTTTAAATGTTCTTACCTCTCCATTCATCTGTACCACCTCTGTTGTTATCTTCATGAATACCATATCCTTGGCATCACTGTCATCCAGAAAAGCCAGGTCTTTAAAACGGGGGTCAAGTGCTGAGGCACAGTGGAGAGTGCCTTCAAGATATGTATAACGGCCATCAAAGTCCTGCCTGAATCTGTCTTTCATATGGGAAATAACCTCTAGATCACTCTCATCTGGTTGGAATTGTCTCTGCAATTTGGCTTGGACTGGAGAGATAATGGAGATGGTGGGATTTTTTTCCTCACTGAGGAGTGTGGTTGCCACTTTCAGTGGTGACATTAATTTGATGATCTCTGGGATCAGTGTCATGTCATCTTCTGTCAAACTGGCCATAGCCTCACGCCTCTTTATCTTCCTGGATAGCAGGGTGTTCAGCACAGCAGGCTGCTGCTCCCAGAAACGCTCCAACATGTCGAGGGTACTGTTCCATCTGGTGGAAACGTCATGGATGAGCTTGTGGTTGGGCAGGTGTAACTGGGTCTGTATTTCACGCAGAACTTCAGTTGCCTTGGGGCTTTTGTGGAAAAAGGTGACAAGCTTCCTAACTTTCACCACCAGCACAGAGACACTGTCCACCTTAAAGGCTTTTTGAGATGCCAAGTTCAATGTGTGGGCGATGCATCTCACGTGTGGGTCCATTTTGGCACCAGCACCAGCCAGGATCATGTTTCTGGCGTTATCTGTGACTAACGCGGGGCTCTTCTCTTCGATCTTCCACTCGCGGCAAACATCCTGAAGTAAAACGGCTAGATTATTCCCTGTGTGAGCCTCGTTGAACACTCTGGTCTGCAAAACGTGGTTTTTGAGAATCCACCCGTCATCTATGTAGTGTGCTGTAACCGTTACATATGATGCTGTAGCGCAAGATGTCCAACCGTCCACTGTTAAAGCAACTCTTTGGGCTTTGTGCAGAGACTCCTCTATCTCTCTTCTGACTTTGTCGTACAGAGCAGGAATCTGTTTATCGGAGAATAGCTTTCGGTTTGGTATCTTATAACGAGGCTCCAAAACATGGAGGAGGTGTTTAAAACCTTCGTTCTCCGTGACACTATAGGGCTGAATATCTTTGCAGATGAACAATGCAATAGCATCTGTTATTGCCGTGGAGCGCGCGGAATTGTTAGCAAGCGGTGCATGGAAAAAACCTTCAATACTTTTCTCACCACTTTTGGAGCTGGTAGCTACAGGTGAATCAGAGCAGGATGCAGGGGCACTGGCAGATGCTTCCTCCACAACAACACCGTGGCGCCGCTTCAAGTGAGATATCAGATTAGTCGTACTGCCCGTGTATTTTACAGATGCGCGGCACAATTTACAAATTGCATTTGTCTTGTCAAGTCGTCCGTCTTTCTTGTAAAATCCATAGTGTTTCCAAACTTTGGCTTCATCCGCGCAGCTGATACATTGAGTTATAGTGTACACACCCGCAAAGTCCGTTGCTTAGGCCTACTTTATGTAGGTCGATTAAATTATGTGCCAAAAACAAGTTCACAACACTTAAATAAATAAAGAAATACATTCTGTATTAAAAGGATAAGCTGTATCTCGGAAAAACCGATGCATCTCGCAAAAACCGATGCATCTCGATTTGCTTCCAAAATTTAATTCATCCTCTGCTGCTCTACTGATGCACTCGCATCGTGCACGCGCATGACCGCGTATCGATACATATCGGTTAATCTTCCCATCCCTACAACACACACAAATTATGCCAAAATGTCAGTTTTGTCGAGTGTCCTTTATCGACCGAAGAGGAAAAGTTCCATGGTGTTGCTTTAATGTGATTAAGCTCATAATTGCATCAACTATAATTGTATTAAAACAGGTGGCGTACGCCGTTTTTAATCGCAGTATGCGGCCATGTAAGCACTTTAATCGCACTAACTGAAGTGAGCGTGTGTTTTTGTCAAGCACCTTAAACGCGTATTCATTTTAAACTTGACATTAGGAAGTTTTCACTGAACTGCATTTCAAACCTAAATATGGTTCGGTATTTCTCATCTCCAAACCCATTTGGACAAAATAGCCTCCTCCTTAGCAACTAATAACACCTGTGAAGAACATACCCTATTAAATGTCAGCTATAGGGGCACCAATTGGTTTAAAAATAGAGGAAAAACTAAAAAACAATGTAACTGTACACAAATCATATAGTGACTTGCTGTTTGTGACCCCCTAGACCATGCTGGCAAAATGATGATATCTTTATGTGGCGGGTGGAAACTTTTCGTTGGTTAAAGGGAAACTTCTGCTCGCCCTTGGGGGAGCGAAGCCCCTTTTCAACCTGTTCAGCGTCTTAAATTTTAATGAAAACACCAACTACGCCACCCAGGGAGTTTCACCCCGGGAAATAGAGTTAAACTAGCTCAATGAGTAACTCTCCAAATTTACAGGAAGCACACAGGTTCGGTTCATGCATGAAGCCAGAGACGCAGTTCCAGTAAAACAATAATTTTATTTAGATCATTAAAATGGACATCAAATATAAAGTAGGTTTCACACTAACACAAAAAAAAGAAAAGAAAAAGGGAAAACGAGTGCTGAGGCCTTACCATTGGAGGAAGCCGGGTCAGAATGTGTGGGACCTCAGGGGTTAAATATTCCCTAATCACACGTACACACCAAAGTAACCACACTCCAAATACACAATAACAAAAGGGAAACAGCACACAGGAGGAGACCCCACCACCAAGGACAGCGACGCCACCACTTCGGGCACTCAGCACTAAAAGAAAACACATTCAGTTAATAAAGACAGAAATCACACAATATACCAAAACAAATCAAACGAAAACAACAAAAAAAACAATCTTCTTTATAAACACTTAAACCAAAGAAACAAACTAATCAAAATCAATTAATCATAATCAAGCAACAAACACCTTTCACACACATACACTCATACATTAATAACGCCGATAGGCCAGAAAAAGGCCAAGCCATCGGCTGTATCACAGTCACTGAAATACAGAATGACCAAACGCCCAATTGCGCGATGAATCCTGCGTTATAAAGTGCATCAAGGAGTCCCGAGGCCGGAATGAACTCCTCTAGCTCTTCCTCATGAACAGTCGGTCAGTACACCGAAATCTGTTAAAACAGAGCAATCCGTAGAGACAGAACAACAGCATAGCGGGAAATGAGAGACTCGTGCAGGAACCGGCGCCAGCAAGCGCTTCACAGTCCTAATGTACATAAACAAATCACATTTAGTAACGGTGCATGATTAAATATACACACAATGCCGACTGGCTTACATACATACCCGTCAGGGAGCTGCGCATCTATACTAATCGTGTCGTTTAGTACAGCTACACGAAACCAACAGCACAACGCAACCCGGTTCCGTTACAGGAAAGATCGGTTTGTGACAGAAGAAACACTGTTTGATAACCGTAACTGCACCACGAACACGAGGACCCACCACGAAAATGTGCCTCTGATGGCAAAACCATAAAGTGTCACACGAGCCACCCTCTGCCCATATAGCATGCAGTTCAGTCCTGATTGGTCCAGAGAGTATGACCTACACCTGCTGCAGTCAATCAACCCGCTACATTTAGATTCCACATTGTCCTATGAAAAAAAAAACTATGTTCAGGGGCCTCATTTATAAACGTTGCGTACGCACAAAAGAAGGCGTACGCCGCTCTCTACGCAATAATTGGTATTTATAAAAAGCAAACTTGACGGTAAAATGTGCGGTCCTTCACGCAAGCTCTGACCCAGGCGTACGCACAAAAACGGGTGAAATGAGAAATGGCGACACCGTCGGCAGATGGAAGAAACATGTGAAAGTGTGTGAAACTGTAGACCGTTGTGTAAAATAAATGGCAATACTGCCTCTCATAAATAACACGAAGACTTCACAAAGCAAGTCTTACAATTAACAGCCTACACGAACACCCGTTTGATCGATCTGCAACAGAAATGCAAATTAACACATATTTGCAAAAAGAAAAGTGAAATATGTTCTGTAATAATATTGGCATGTTATACAATTCATCCTCATAAATAAGATGGTAAACAGAACGGAATAATGTACAAAACTGATATTCTCGCCAATGTGTCCGTCAGGCGGAGCAGATATAGATGCAATTAGATAGATAGTCAGATAGATAGATAATTAGGGAGATAGATAGATAGATAGATAGATAGATAGATAGATAGATAGATAGATAGATAGATAGATAGATAGATAGATGTATTATTTGTCCACTGGGTAAAGTTGTTTTCATAGTAAAATGTCTTCATCAGCTACGGAATCATGGTATTCATGCATATGCCTTTAGTTTGTTTTATTTTTGATAAAATAACGTATGACGTAGACCTATGTCTCAATCATTCAGAAAGCTGCAAGAAATTACATTTGCGCTGAACTATTTCCCATTTCCAAGTAGATTATAACCGACATCTGTTGCTTGTCATTTCTTTTTTATTTCGGCCACAGTCCGAGGTTGTGAGGCTGCAGCATTTACGGCGTCTGCAACCTTTTGCCACTCAAGTGCCTTTTTGGCATTAGTAATGCCCACACTGTGCCCTCCAAACAACATTTTTCTCCTCTTTTCCACCTCGCCAACGATAACTTCTAATTCACATTGAGTTAAGTTACATTTTTTTGATTTCCTCTCTATGTTTGCCATGATTTCGCAATTGATGATTAACTTATGGTCGTTTCACGGACTATTTATGGGCAACTATGGGCGTGACATGAAGCCGTAAAAGCTGCGCTACATTTAGAATTGATTGTGATTTATTAAGGGAAAAATACGTAGGATGTGCGTGCGCACGGTTTTATAAATCCGAATATTTCTGTGCGTACACACGTCCTATGTTTCATCCGTACGCCACTTCTGACGCAAGTCCTACGCAAAGTTTTATAAATGAGGCCCCTGATCTCCTTGGACATATCTTCACTTAAAGAGGTGCATCTGCTGGACTTGTCAACACATTATGCAACTTACCGGCAAACTAGGTTCCCTTAGTTTCCATTTAGGGACTTCAAATAGGTCAGCAATGTGGACATCCATTCCCTGAATAAAATTGTATGTCTGCATTTCATATACATACATCTCACAAAAGTGAGTAGTGCACTCACTTTTGCACAAACTTATGTGTAAGTCATCAAGGTAAATACAAATACATACATGTCTCCTGCCTGCCTCCTCTACCAGCCTGAAGCACGCATTCCCAATCTGAAAGCACAGAATGTTTTGCATAATTACAATAAAGGCATTAGAACCATCCAAACTCTTTACAGCAATATCCACTTACATTGCTCTCCACCTGTTCATCTAGCCCCAGGCTCCAAAAGTCTTCCCTTTGAAGACAAACTGGGCCATCTAGAACAACAATTTCTTTTGCTGGACGTGTTCTGTCCAGCACATAGGTCAGCTAGAAATAAAGAATATCCCTGTTAGGAATAAGCAATCATGCATTTATTATTTAAAGCACACCAACAAGCTGTGCATGTGAACTATCCAGTTTAGTTTGGCACTCACCACTTGTTCTTGCTGAGGACACAACCTCTTGTGCCACAGTGGACCTTTATTGGCATACTGGTGGTCCACCAGTCCAATGTCTTCTGCATCGTTTTGGCTGCCCTCCGATTCATGGCTATGATCTACACAACAGGAAAGTAAATAGTAATCATCATTGTCAAGTGTCATGTTTATATTTGCTATGTCACCAAGTAGGATTATTACAATACCTTGTGGCCGAAAGTAGGGCCTTAGCTGCGCAACATTAACTTTCTGTATTTTCCCTAACATAGCCACACTTGCCACACCCTTCTCTGTCAGGGATGTGAGGGTGAATGGCCCTTGGTGGAGATCCTGTAAACAATTTCCCTTCTTCACCTTCTTTTTGGGCTCCCCAATTAGGACCTCGTCCCCTGCCTTAACTGAGCACTGGCAAACCCCTTTCCTTTTCTTTGCCTCAAAAGCCTTTTTTCCCTCAAAAGCGTTTCCCCTGTGCCTTTTCAATGTTTTTCAGTATCTTAGTCATATATTCTAATCTTTATGCGAACATTCTTATTCAAATTGAACATGCCATTCACACAACTCTGAACAAACCGTTTCATTGAGGGCCTTGACTCCAGCTAGTTTTAGCTCCAGCTCCCCCTCTGGGTCCGCCAATTCAAAGGCAGCGTCTGTCTCACAGACATTTAATGCCTGTGGTAGACGGGGGTGCCTATTGTACATTAAAAAGTACGAGCTGTACTTGGTTGATCTCTAATTTGAAACAAAATGTTTTGCATCAAATCACAAAAAATAACTTGCATGTGCAATATCATGTGTGCAATATATGTTATCTAGTCATTTTGAATAATAACCTGTTTTGCAGTGTTTATTCCATAAACTATGGCCTGCAAGTGGATGTCCCAATCATCATGGTGCTGATTAACATATTTTCTGAGAGTCCTCTTTATATTTTGATTAGTTCTCTCATCCTTCAACATAGAAAGGAATTACTACATGCACTTTAGTGTACATTGGCTAAAGTTGACTTTACTGTTTTGCGGGATGCCATGATGGCACACTTACTTGGCCGTTTGACTGGGAATGGTATGCACTTGTGATGGCATGCTTGATGTTCAACGCCGCAAATATGTGTGCATTAAGCTGTACATCAGACACACATGGTTATTTTCAATATTTATTGGTCTCAGAAATGACCAATGACCACTTAAAACAGCGTGAATTGTGATGATGTCATTTGTTCTGTGTGAAGGGAGAGGGTAATAAGGACACATATCTCGTTAACAAATGCACGGCCCCTGTCAGTGATGATTTTCCGGACCATACCAAATGTGTAAAGCTTTGACACAAGTGCCTCAGCCACCTCAGTGCTGGAGCCACACTTCAAAGGCTCAGTGATAACCCACTTGGTGAACAGGTCTGTCACCGTGAGGACATATTGATGGTCTTTCATGTTTTTTTTCAGTGGACCAATGAGGTCCATACCGACCACCTCCCACGGCTCTTTCACCTGTGGAGATATGTAATATTACCACATCACCTAACTTGTTGCTTTAAGTGGTACACCAAGGTAAGCTCTACCTTAATAGGGTGAAGGGCAGGAGACACAGTCTTTATGGGGTGTTACGTCCCCCAGCTCCGCTGTGTGTTTCTACATGTGTGTTTGAGTTTCCCTTGCTCTTAATTACAGATGAGCCACACCTGAGCGCAGCCGTATACTTGAGCTACAAAAGCTGTCCGGAACCACACGTGAGCGCGCACACAGAGCCTGAGAACGGAGTCGATGCACTGCCGTGCTGTCTGCCGTTAGAGTTTTTGCAGTCCACCCCGGGAATCAAAAGCGTTCCGCCTTTGTAACTCTGTCTTTAATTGTGAACTTACCCGGTATTTGATAACCGACCTACTTAATAAACATACCCCTATTTTTGACACGAGCTGGCCTGTGTGTGTCTCTCCTTTATGTTAAGGGTGGTGTCCGTCCGCCCGTAACATGGGGTCGTTCTTTTGGCATCTGTGACAGCTTTTGACCTGATGGATACATTTATTATTTAGACAAAATAATTATCTGAAGTCAAACAAAGCCACTAAATCAATTCATTGCCTGAGAGCCATAGTGTTAAATTCCATTAAAGTTCCAAAAAAGTACCCAATCTGCCTTTATGTTATCCCAGTAGTACCCCACAACAACCCTGTCCATGGTCGCCCTCACGCCCCCATGGTTCCCTGTTCCAGGGTTGTTGTGGCACTCCTCCAGGACAGCCCGCCTCTGCTCATCAGACAGCACAACCAGCCTCATGAATTGTGCACTGGGGCCAATGTAGAATAATTTACTTTCTGTGATAGACAAACAATGTTTGTTACGTAATGATTTTGCTGCTTTGTTTGGTATTACAATACAGCACTTATGTGCACATGTGTCTTTGTTCAGGGATGCAAACACGTGTGGTGAAAAATGTTGTCGGTTACTATGTCTGACTAGATGGAACGTTACTCACATGCTCACACGTGTTAACTAAAACAATGCTAAATATTATTTTCAAATACCAGAGTATAGAAGACCAAGAGGCGAAACTCTGATGCTTTTATATGGAAGTAAAATAATGCCAAATGTTTTTGAAACAAAAAGCCTGTTGAATTGTACTACTTGAAAAAAATATGCATTGCATTAACCCTGCTTGTATTTTAATGCATTGTATTTTTAGGGATTGCATTTTTATAGGCTGAAATTTAGCATGGTTGAATATTTAAGCTGTGAATATTTCAAATCAAAACATTTCAAACACATTTTCATTAGTGAAATTTCAATAATCCATATTCACCTTTCATATTTCACTTCCAAAATATTCAAACTGATTAAAAATACAACCTATAATATTCAACAGGCGGTTTTCGGTCCATTTTATTTCGCTTTGCAAATTCGCTTCCACAAATTCAGTGGTTCAAATTCGACAGTAAATTCAACGTTGACATCCAGGAGCTGCAGGAAAAGCAGTAGATTACCGAGCATAATCTCCATCTGCTGTTAGTCGACCTCACCAGCAGGGGGTGCAAGCGCGTGTTGTTGACGAAGACCAGAGCAACAGTTAGCCAAGCCATTCATTCATAAAAACTTATTTACAACAATTGAGCATGCATTAAGTTTTTTGAGGTAGTTTTTTCTTGCATTGTTGAGTATTACCATTTTATGAAACTTTACACAATTACTACTATTATTAGTTACCAACTCCACTAGGCCTGAAATATATTTTGTACGTTTTAATCCCCTGGATCATGCTACAAACATGAAGATCTTATAGAACATGATGCATTGCTGTGTCCGTTATTCTATAATTGCCACTTTTGTACAGTGGCTGTGTTTTTGTTTACATAGTCTTGCTTTTTGAGTTTGTGTGTGTGTGTGTGTGTGTGTGCGTGTGAGAGAATGTCTGTTCTTGTTTATATGTGAGATAGTGTGTGAGTGAGAGAGAGAGAGAGAGAGAGAGAGAGTGTGTGTGTGTTTGCGTGTGTGTGTGTGTGAGAGAGAGAGTGTGTGTTTGTGTGAGTGTGTGTGTGTGAGAGAGAGAGAGAGAGTGTGTGTGTGTGTGTGTTTGTTTGTGAGAGGGTGTCGGTTCCTGTTTGTTTGTGTGTGAGTGAGAGTGTGTGTTTGTGTGTGAGAGAGTGTCTGTTTGTGTTTGTGTGAGAGAGTGTGTGAGTGAGTTTGTGTGTGAGAGAGAGTGTGTTTGTGTGTGAGAGGGTGTCAGTTCCTGTTTGTTTGTGTGTGAGTGAGTTTGTGTGTGAGAGTGTCTGCTCGTGTTTGTGTGTGAGTGTCACAAATCATAAATTGTTTCTTTAACTTGAATGGTCTGTTTGTGTCTGTTCGTGTTTGTTTGTGTGAGTGAGAGAGTGTGTGTTTGTGTGTGAGAGAGTGTCTGTTTGTGTTTGTGTGAGAGAGTGTGCGAGTGAGTTTGTGTGTGAGAGAGATTGTGTTTGTGTGTGAGAGGGAGTCTGTTTGTGTCTGTTCCTGTTTGTGTGTGAGAGAGTGTCTGTTCGTGTTTGTTTGTGTGTGAGAGAGTGTCTCGCAAGGTCTCTCGCTCGCTTTCCCTCTCTGCCGTGCGCGTGCGCTACGCTGTTTGGAGCACAATCTCTGTCTCGCGTGCGCGCTCGCTCAAGATTACGGGAGATTTTATTTTAACTAATTTGCGGCATAACTAGTCGATCACGAGTGGCTCAACAGGTAGATATATAGATAAACTCATCTTCCAGGGTTACTGCCAGTGACATTATGTGTGGTTGTCCACGTTCGCTATGGACAAATAAGCAAACAGATGCGTCAAGGCTGTAACCAACTAGTGGCAGAGGTGGCGGTGGTGGGGCATCTTGATGGTGAGTGATATTGCATGTTGTTGCTGCTGGAATGACAGCACACTTACATACTGAACTTTACCAAAGGCAGAATCCACCAAAGAATCCTCATGTGACATCCTGATAGTGGTTACTGGAGGAGATACAGCACTGGCGTAGTCCTTATATGCCTCTGCTACTCGGAGGACTGAGAGATCAGGCAGCTCACTGGCGACACCCTTGTAAAGGGTACTCCTGAAATGAAAAGAATTAAACAAAAAGCACTTTTTCTAGTTTTTAGTCTGTCTAATCTTTCATAACTTTTCATTTTAAACTACATTCATCTTTAGTATGAACCTTAAACTCTCAGCAAGCTTCCTCTCTTTGGGTCTTGCAGACAGAACCACCATTTTATTGACAGGACCTGGCTTGACTCCCTAGAAAATACCCAGGGCCATGTTAATATTAATACAGGAAAATTTTCAATGCTAGATTACAGTATACAGCAGTCAATTCATCACTTCACTCGATTTATTACTGAATAATAACCACTGTCCACAAAAATGCTGTTACTCACTAGTCATCTAGATAAAGTATGTATCCTAAGCTAATAAAACATTAAACTCAAATAATGCTCATTTGTATATATTAGGTTTTTTTTTGCATTTCCAGTAGTTGTATTTTTATATAAATTTTTATTAGCAAATTTATTTAAAATTACCATTGTTCTAGGTCTGTGCCAGCTCTGCTCCGTTTCAGTACAGCTGTTTACTGGAGGAACTGCACTGATGCCAAGCTGTGAATAGTGGGCTGTTTGGTAGAGTAGTGCAACAATGTGGTTGCACAGTGCTGTCCCAGCAACACAAGAACAACTACTCTGTGACAGTGTTACAAGACGAGAATCCTTTAATACAATCTGTGAAGATAATTAAATTGTTAATGTTATTTCTAAATTATTTAAAACACTTATGAACCCATTTACTGACTATGCCTGTATTTGTATAGATGTAGAACCCACAAACAACTTCTGTTTAAAACATGCATTTCATTTAGAGATCAGCTGTCTTTTATATCCTCCTACTCTTAATCTATGGGGCTCCTCTGACTTCCTCATCGACCTGAAACATGTCGCCCTCATGCTGATCTCTCCTGTGAACTGATCTTTACTGGAAACTGAGAAATTACTCATAGTCAGTAACAATGATATTTTACAATTTGTATGTAACAGTTACATCGAATAAACAAGCAATTTTCAAATTTACGTAAAACTATACGTTTAACTAATATCAAATAATCCAAATAATAGATCAAATAATACAAAGACCGGTATGAACTTGTCAGAAACGGAGACAATGATTTTAGAAACCGGTTCGCTAACGTTAGTCGAATTTCGCATGATATGAGAGAATAACTTTACTCACCCTCAAAGTTGTCAATATAGCTTGAAATATATCATTTAAAGGTTCTCTAAGCGATGTCGGGTGACGTCCCTTCTTGTTGACGTTTAAAGTATTGTCAAACAAAACGGAGGCTAGGTAGACCCTCCCTCCTCCTCATCCGCGCACTAACCCCCCAAACCCCGCCCCCAAGTCCTTCTTGTCTGTGATTGGCTGGAACTGTTTGTCATGTTTCGGGGAGCGGGTCGCTGCAGTTTGTTTTTGTTGCTGTTTGTGGACTGTCTACAGAGATCGCGTTTCTTTACAGTGTGTTCAGGGGACAGGCAGCCAGCGGATAGTGAGGAGATGTTTGCTGTATGTGACAAAAATGTTTTGGCCTAAAAAATGCGTGACATCGCTTAGAGCACCTTAAAAGCCCTTCTCTTTCTTGCTCT